GGGGACTACTATACGGTTTTTTTCCAGGGGGATACTAGGAGTTTAAAACCTTAAACCCTAGACTATGGTCCATATCATGTGAGACATAGGCGCTGTCTTCGGGCCTTGATTGGTCGCGCTGCTTCGTGTCCATCCTATTTGTGGACTCTGCCAAGTCCTCGTGCTGTTTGGAGAAACAGTTTTAGATCGTTTGGACTTAGTTCCAGGTGTAAGGTTTAAGGTTGAGGGTTTTAGGGTTTAGGGATTAGCGTTTGCGGTTTGGGTTCTGGGCTTCGGGTTCAAAACCAAAGGTTTAGAAGTATCATGGGGTAACAAGAGGGTTTGTTCATTGCATGGTGTGCCCGAAAACCTATCGAACTCTCAATTCTAAACTCCGAGCCCTACATTCTAATGTAGACTCCTTAAAAGGGGTTATATAAGGGATTATATAGGGGACTACGTTATGAAGGGGGATACTTGGAGTTTAGACCCTAATCCAAAACCCTAAAGCCCGAAACCTGAAACTGTCAGGGATTGTCTAGAAAGATAGGAAGGATACAGAGAAGATCAAGACCACGCCTGTGCAGGGATGACATGGTCATCGGGAAGTGCATCAAGATACAAAGCCTTTCAAAACCCTGAACCCTAGACCCTAAACATCTGATGCATCCCAACATATTCCGATAGATGCCCTGATGTAAACCTAAACCCTGAACCCCAAATCCTAAACCCTGAACCCCAAACGCTGAGTTCTAAACCCCGAACCCCAAACCCTCAACCCTAGACCCTGAACCCCAAACCCTTAACCCTAGACCCTGAAGCCCAAAACGTAAACCCTCAACCCTAAGCCCTAAATATCCAAACCTTGCAGCGATGTGTGACTGTTTTAGATCCCCATCATCCCCCATTTGAGTAGTATTTTATTTGGGAATACTATGGTACAATTATAGAGTAAGATTCTATCCTCCTTTCGGGGTATAGTATTTTATATAAAGAATATAATCTTACTAGATTCAACCACCAAAAAAACCCTACTCATTTAGCCCCTATATACTAGGGTTACTAGGGTAGTGGTTTCCATTTTCCATTAATCCTTTAAACCCCAAACTCTAAGCCCACACCCTAACTAAGCCCTGAACCCTAAACCTCCTTATAATCCTGTTTTAGGTCTCCAGGCTACGTTCGAGCTCGACTGGCCCAGCGCTTGGCCGATGCTGCGGCTGAGTGGAACGGCATGGGCCGAGTTCTGGAGTCCCGGTATTTAGCTTTTTACCGGTATATAGGGTTGTATAGGGTTATATAGGGATAATGGACAAGAACATAGAAACTACTATAATGAGCTATATAGGGTTTAGGGTGTAAGGTTTAGGGTTCAGGTTGTAGGGTTTTTCAGGTCTCGGAAATATGTCGAGATATTTATGGGAAAGGATACACATATAAAAGTATATAGAGTCACAGTAGTCATAGTAGGGTAGATTCTATTTCGGGGTTCCTTACGGGGTTAGCATTGAGACTTGACTATTACATTCCTGGTCTTGTTTAGTATTTTGGAAATTTGAAGTTAGGTTCAACAATAACCCAGTTTGAGTTTTCGCGGCTCAAGGTCATCTTCCCGTATTAACAGGCAGCCAAAAGACACAGCAGGTGTCCTATAATCATGTAGACGCCTGAACTGACATCATGCTCCTAGTTTCCCTGCAGAAATATGGCATAGGATACCTCAAATAGATCTCAAGATGTCACAGTTATTCAGGCTTGAACATTCTTCCATAATCCACAACCCCTACCCTAAACCCCTAAACCCTACACCCACAACCCTAAACCCCTTAACCCTAAACCCCTAAACCCTGAACCCCTAAACCCTACACCCACAAACCCTACACCCACAACCCTAAACCCCTAAAGCCTATACCCCAAAACCCCAAGCCCCCAAACCCTACCAAGGAGTTCTACGCGTGCTCCACACGCGACCAGCCTAATGACTCTGACGGCTTGTCAGAGCTGTGGGAAGGCGGAGCAGTGAAGGACATATTAAGCTATAGCCTAAAGTAGGGGTTAGATTAAGCTATAGTCTAAAACAGGGGTTATATAGGGGATTGTGCAGGGTCAGGTTGGGTACTGCCCCCACCCAGTAACAGTCTATATTAGGGTTCCTATTGTGCTATATATAACCATATTATAATCACCTGTTACTGAGGGGGGGCAGTACCCAAGGTTCAGGGTTTAGGGATTAGGGTTTAGGCATATAACCCCTTTCAAAGGGGGTTTGGGGGGTAGGGTCTAGGGCTTAGGGTCTGGGGCCTATCTAGGGCTTAGGGTTTAGGGCTTAGGGTTTAGGGTTTAGACATTTATATAGTTTGGCTTCGGTTTCTGATGGAGTCTAGTAAGGGTTTTTTTCGAGCACAAACCAGGTTCTGCTTTCAAACCATGAAGCCTAATCACATCATGAAACCCAATGATGAGTAAGAACACCATGAATTTTAGGCGCCTACCAAGGATTTACATTATGAGAAAGAGGAATCGAGCGAGGGCTGGTTTGCTGACTGGATTGGTCCTTTTCAGGAAGGAAGCGTGGCCAGGAAAAGTAAATACGAAAGTCAGGAATTAAGGATGTGACGGTTGGGTTTGTTTCCTGCTGGCATCTAATCATGAATTGTCTAAGCACGGGCTTCTAATATGGGCCCCCTACTTCTTTCCTGGGCCTTATCTTGGTTATGTAGGGTTTATGGGGTGATCCTAGGGCCCATACTGGGGACCCATAGTTCCAACCTTAGAAAGTAGGGGAGGAGCATCAGGAGGTACTGAATTAGAGGGGTTTAGGGTTTGCCCAACACCTAGGGTTGTCCCACAGCCCAGATCTCATCAACCGCGTCAAGTTTGGCTCGGCTTGGAAGTGTGAGGGGGCGGGTGGGGGGAGGAATAATTACGGTCCCTTCAGCTGCAGCCATCTTAACCTGTAAATCGCAGTATTTCTGGAGTCCTCATGCAAAAACACCGCTTTCATGTTCGAGAGCATCCGATTACCGAAACATCCATGCCCAAGGCCAGCATGACGTGCATGTTCGAGAGTATCTCAGTACCAGAACATCCATGCCCAAACCATAATAACGTTCATGTTCGAGAGCATCCCATTACCAGATCATCCATGCCCAAGCCATAATAGCGTTCTTATTGCTTGTGCATCCAAGTACCAGAAACACTGCGCCCAGTGGGACGAAGTCTATGTCCTTTCCGGGAGCCCTGATGCAAAAACACCGAGGCACCGTCGCACGAAATGCGTGTGCGACATAGCTGCAATGAGACGCGCCATTCAAAAAACATGGCTTTTGCACATTTTGATTTCGAAAGCCTGCAACAACCTGATCTAATATCGTCGTGTCGCGCGGATTTTTCTGACAAAATTCCGTGCAGCCATGATCGTAGGTCATTGCAACAAAGAAGCCCGGGCATGCGCAATCTCCTGCGACGCAGTACTTTCTGCAACTTTAACCCAACAGCACCTTCTCCCCACAAAGCGTTCCCGGAGAGCCCTAGGCGTTGCACGTCAGGGTTTAGGGTTAGGAGAATTTTCCAACGAAACCAAGTGTGCAGGATCTGGTGGTAAGGCTCTGTTTTCTAATGAGGTTTAAAAATACTGCATGAAAAAAAAAGGAATCCATGATGTGGCGGCTGTGTCCGTTTTGCTAAAGAAATCCCAAAAAGACTTGCGTAAATGAAACAAACCTGAATGATTCGTAAATTGTCGGGACAAAGAAACCCTGCAGATTCCCCAACACTGGCTTGACTCGCTAGATGCCTTGCTTAGCAGGGTTTAGGGTTTAGGGTCTAGGCGGGAGGCGAAGCAAGCCATCAAATCTTGAAGTTTCGTTTTCTTTTGAAAAGATCCGGATGACATTTCACTAGGAAGGAGTACAAAACCACCATATACTGGCGATACTGGCGTCCTGGATTTCCTCTTAAGATTCTTGCCTAAAAAGAAGATGAAATCAAATCTTGGATTCCTAGTTTCATTTTTTGGTTTCTGTCGCAATCTCAAACAACGGAGGATTAAACCATAAGCTCCAGGATTGGCTTTTGCCCATTTTGACTCCGGGCTAGTCTTCGTCATTACTCAAGTACAGTAAGCGGCACTGAAGACCAGATACCGGATTCCTTAGGTTTGATACTTGAAGTCCATACCGAATGTGGTGGGAAAGGAAGACCAAACCACCGCATCCTGGTTCCTTGGAATTCTACCAAGGGAAGTTCAATCAACCAGCAATAATCGAACCACCATATGCTATGTACTTGGTTTTCACTTGTAACATTCCGTATGGCAGCGTACCCAGAAAAGGAGACCACAACCAGATCCCAGATTTCTGTTCGTAATTGCCTTGTGAGCGTTCCTCTCAAAAGATCACCGAGCTACCAGGTGCTGCATGAAGGCCTTTTTTTTTAGATAGAAAATTCAGTAATTCGAAAGGAGGAAAAACCAGAAACGGCTATAATGGGGGGGGGTTATTTAGGGGTTATACAGGGGGGTTATATAAAGTTAATGGAAAAGAAAATGGAAACGACTATAATGAGGTTATATCAGATCATGAATTCCAGGCTTCCTCACCGCAACTCCGTTGCGGTAGATCCTGGATGTCCGCTTTTTTTCCACATAAATTCAGCTAGAAGGCAAGGCTCTTCCACCTAGATGGGGATTCTTGGTTCATGGGAGCGATTGACAGCGATGGAAGACGATTGAACTTCAATCCGCCACCGGCAAGAGTTTGCCTGGAATCTTGAACCTTGAATCCTGGCCCCGATTGATTCTCAATCGGTTTCCCTCGGGTATCAAAGAAGAGCTGGTTCCCACTTCGGGTCGCGACTCCAGAAATGAATCTAGACAAAGGTGCACCCTGTTCTAGCCTTGGACCCCGCAGAACAGCTAGATAACCAGAGCGGGGGAGGGGGGTGCCACATACATGTATGTGAAGATAGGGAAGGGGGGTGCTATATACATGTATGTGAAGATAGGGATGTCCTCTCGGAAGGACAACATTGCAGAGTTTGCCGAGAACGTTGGTATCGACGAAGATGAGCTTCAGCAGATTTTCCGGAAGCTAGGTGCTGGCATGTGGGCTGCCTTAGGCCAAGAAGTTCTGCGGGAGCACGACGTGATTGTTGCCCTGGATGATGATGCAGCAGCTGCTGTGAACGAAGAGCTGGTTCGTCAAGGTCTTCCCACTGGCTGCATGCTGTTGAGTGACTTCGAGTGGCAGCTTCTGCGACGGAAGGAGACCTTCCTGCAAACGGACTGCGCGGACGGCTCCGGAGAACGATTCCAGACTGTGGACGCCTTGCAAGCCATGGAGCGGCATGCCTTCGAATTCGGGGAGAGCCTTGCCTGGAGCAAAGCCTGGGGACACGCTAACGACTCAGATGGCATTTTTTCCTATGTTGTGTTCTGTTTGTTCTCTGGTATTTCGATCTGTGGAAAAGTGCATCCAGGTGTCTGCGCATGCACATAGAGCTGCTGTACCAAAAGCAGTTGCCAAAGTTTACACCCCGGACTCCGCACGCGGTCTTGGGTCAGGGTTGAGGTTAGGGTTACCGTGAACTCTGGAAGAGGGGCGCACAATAAACAATTCCTAAACTCCTCAGATGGATATTAATACAACATCAGGCCCCTGTCATATAAGTCATATAATCCCTTCCAACTAATATTACATGACGTTCCTTCCTCCCACCGAAAATAAAATAGTCAGGGGCCGGAAAAAATTGTTTCGTCTTAGTGTATTAGGAGGGGGGGGGGGGTGTTATTTATTGCAAGAGTTAGTCAGGGATGACTTCAACGTCTTTTGAAACTCCATGGAAATGCAACAACCAATTACACGAACTAGCAAATCACATCAATGAATAATTGAATATTTCATCAATTGAGATTTTGGAGTTAATTAATTGAATAGCTAGTTGATAATTCCAGCACGCCCCCAGCAACCCACCACAATTCCTGATTATATAGGTGGCCTGGCCCCTTTTAAAGTAGCCTTGCCCTTTTAAAAGTGCTCTTCCGTATATTTGTGCTCCTGAGCTTATTATTTAGCATTCGGGGGGGTTAGCGTTAGAGCAACGGGTTAGCACATGCACCCAAAATACCATCATCCTTAGTAGAGAGACTTGTCAAAGAGTGACCTCTCATTTTTGGAAACTCCAACCTCCAAACGCTGCGCACTAAGCTCTAGAGCCAAACCCGAAACCATGAACCCCACACATCCTCATATATTGCTTAGGTGGGCCCCCCACCCAGTAATAGTGACTCTAAGGGATAGTAGGGATTATATTAGGGTCCTCTCATATTCCTATTATACCACTATTACAGGGTGGGGGGTCCTCCTAAATCATAATAATCATCTAAACCCTAAACCCTAAACCCCTGGACCCTAAACCCTAAACCCCTGGACCCTAAACCCTAAACCCCTGGAACCTAAACCCTAAACCCCTGGACCCTAAACCCTAAACCCCTGGACCCTAAACCCTAATATTGCCTACACCCTACAGAATGGAGCTTTGGTTTTCCACTACGCTGTGCTTGGGCTTACTGTGAGAAGCCCTAGAGCCTCACCCCTAAAGTCTATGAAGCCTAAAACCTAGACCCTCAAAAGCCTGAAAACCCTAAACCCAAAAAAAACCTAAACACCCTAAGAACCCTTAGAACCCTAAACCCCCAAAACCCTAAACGCCCTAAACTTAAAGCCCCCCAAAACCCAAAACCCAAAACCCTAAACCCTACACCCTAAACCCTAAACCCTAAACCCTACACCCCAACCCTAAACCCTAAACCTTGTTCGGATGGATCCGAGGAGTCGGGGGAGCGTGGCAGACCTCGAAGTGCCTCCGTGGCCTCGAAAGCCGGTCGGGCTGGGCAAGGATGATTCTGGGAGTTGACCTATTGGGTGTAGGGTTTAGGGTTTAGGGGTTTAGGGTTCAGGAGTTTAGGGCTTAGGGCTTAGGGTTTAGGGATTAGAGTTTAGGGGTTTACGGATTCAGGCTTTAGGGTTTAGGGATTTGGGGTTCCTGTACTGTCGTTAGGAATTAGTTGTAATTTGTATTATAGTATAACTTAGAGGAAATATTGAAAAGAGTATTTTTATTATAGGTCTAAGGAAGCTGCAGATTCTGGGAGTTGACCTATTGGGTCTAGGGTTCAGGTTTAGGGTTTAAGGTGTAAGGTTAGGGATTTAGGGTTTAGGGATTTAGGGTTCAGGGTTCGGGGTTCGGGGTTTGTTTAGGGTTTAGGGTTTGCGGTTTAGGGTTTTGAAAAAGAAAAGGGAAGCTACAATAGTTTTTGGGGTTTGAGCTTGAGGGGTGTTAGGGTTGAGGGCTTAGGGTTGAGGGTTAAGGAATGGAAAAAGAACATGGGAACAATAATAATGGAGAATCAAGTGGAAGATGTGAAATGACATGGGAATCAGAGTTTTCTCGGGCGTTGCAACTGTAGGGTTGATAAAGCAATATGGTAGGAAAAGAAAATGGAAAATGACATAGAGACCCTAGCCGTGCTTAGGGTAGTAATGGGGAACCAAATAGAAAGAACATGGAAAATGAACTGGAAACTTGGATAGATGACTGGGATATCACTGGGAATATTTTTCGGTGATTTTTGGCCAGAATGCCTTTTTTAATTTCCTTTGCAGGTCGCAAGAGTTAAAGGTGTCTGGGGTTTATAGGGCTCTACTTGGAGGGTCAGGGGAGCTAAGTAAGTAGGTCAAGAACCCTATAACCCAGATAGTACGCCCAGTTATCCCCCCTGTTAACCTACTTACTAAGTCTCCAAGTAAGTCATCCCAGTAGAGGTTAATGGAACTTGGTACCTAATGAGGAGGATGACGGCAAGGCTGAGGGTAGGGATGACAATTGAGATGATGACGTCCGAACCTCCCTTATTAGGGTTTAGGGTATAGGCTTTAGGTATTAGAGTTTAGGATTTAGGCCTTAGGGTTTAGAGTTTAGGCTTTAGGGTTTAGGGTTTAGGGTTTACTTTTTGCGAATGTCAGTACTTGGCTTTTGAGCTCTGAAGATTCAGGCCCTAAAGCGCAAACCCTCGAACTTGTAGGCCTTAAGCCCTAAACCCCAAAATCCTAAACCCTAAACCCCCGCACCCTAAGCCTTAAACCCTAAACCCCTGAACCCCAAACCCTAAACCCCAAAACCCTTAGCCCTAAACCCCAAATCCCTAAAGCCAAATCCCTAACCTTACACCTCAAACCCTCTGACCTGAAACTTTAATCTCCAAGGATGGCAGAGTCAGCGATTGGCGTCGCTTGCATGCAGCGCTGCTGCATGGCAGCTGGGGCATCGTGTGGTTTCTGTTTTTGTCATGGCAGGCGCGAGGTTGAGGGACTCATACAGTAGGATGTCTCTATATGGGTGGTTGTCAAAATTATGGTCCCTTTTTGGGTATCCTAAATATTAGGTGCCGTATTATAATAAGGATCCAAAAAGGGACCATATTTTGACAACCACCCATATTCCCGCCCAAACTACCCACACTTGCCGTATTCCAGCATTTGCTTAGGGGCTTCCCAACTTCCGCAACCTCCGACCTCTGGGAGGCCAACTACTGCAATCCGCTGTGCAAAATCTTCGACCACGCTGATGCCATTAGCTCAGAAGCGCAGAGTCAGGAGGAGGAGGAGGACATCTCCAGAACTCCTGAGCAGCTCTAGGTAGAGGTCTAAGGGTTATACAGGATTTTATGCGGCTATACATAGATACGAGAAGATATACGGTTTAGGTAGGCAATGCCCAAAGTTATAAGCAAACATACTCTAGCCTCTTCTACAGATAACACATACCTAGCTAGATTCTGAGCAGATTTAAAGATGCCATGCTCCCGGCGTCCTCTTTGGCGGGGGATCCCTGGCAGCAGTCTTCATAGGATTCTAAAGGTCCCAACTGGGAAAGAGAGAGAAGAGAAGATGCTAGAAACTGGTATGGACTTACGAAGAACATGCGTACACAGCGAAGTTTTCTTCAAGATAGGAATTCCCAAATAGAGAGCCCAGTAGACATAGCACGTATTACCTTCGGGAGCCTATGAAGCTTGGCTCTGTCAGCACTTCTGTGGTTCACAAGACAACCACGCGTGACTCATGTGGCTGAAATTTGGATGGCAAGTGCCCTTGCTACATTGACGTCGCACTCCATTCCTGAATTATTTGCGTTGCCAGTTTCCGAAAATCGGGAAACTCAACCTCCACATTCAAAATCTGCAGCCCGCGTTTTGGTAGCCCGAATCCCCAAGCCCTAAACTTAACGGAATGAACACAACCCAAAAGGACCATAGCCACTCCGTGGACCAGCCATCGCGTGTTTTCAACTTTCTAAGCTGTAAGCCCCCAGAACACCAGATTTCAAAATAGTGTATAGGGTTTGAGAGGGTCCCCTTTACACATATCCCCAAATAGTACACACGACAAATTGCGCACTGCCAAAAAGGGACCCCTACTTTTCAAAAACCCTCATCCCTTTTAACGACTGTATAATATGATTTTGTTTTCATGTGGGGTTATATCTTCACGCATTCCTTGTATATCCCAATCTACCTCTACATACCCGACACCTAAAATAGTATGTTACTACAGGTCATAGGGGATTACGCTGTATACCATATACCCTAAACCGTAAACATGTCAGAAACTTTCACATTCCTAGCCCTAAGCCCTAAGCCGTAACCCTAAACCCTAAATCCTAAACCCTCAACCCTAAACTTTTCGGAAGCTTTCCTTTTTTTAAGTTGCAAAGCATCTTTAGTGCCTCCATGCGCAAGAGTCTGGCCAAAGGGCCCGCAATGCCATTTTCCAGGAGGTTCCTGGGTTGCTGTTAAGGAGCTTAAATCTGGATCAATGCTAGGGATCCTTTAAAGGGGGATATAAGGGTTATAGAGGGATTAGGGTTTAGGGTTTAGGGATATTATAGGGATACATGGGGTTTGGGGACCCTTTGTATACTTTTTGGGGTGACGGATTCCTTCTATTTATGTAAAAAGGATCCTTTTTTCTTCCTGCTAATGTGGGCTAAGAAATTGCGTTACCAGACTAGGGAAGTAGGCTTTAGGGTCTAGGGTTTAAGCTACCATACTAAGGGTATATAGTAAATAGTACGGTTTCCTTATTATGCTCTGGAACTTAAATGAAGCTACCAAATTCTGGGTACATGGTAGATATTAGGGTTCCCTTGTTGTAGTAACTTGGTGGTTCCCAAACTAAGGGACCCCAACAAAGATCCCCAAATGCTATAATCCTTATTAACAGAACTCCCAAAAAAGTACCCTTACTGTACTTTTGGGAAACCCTAAACCCTATATGGGTGGTTGTCAAAACTATGGTCCCTTTTTGGGTCCCTATTATAATACGGCACCTAATATTTAGGGTGCCCAAAAAGGGACCATAGTTTTGACAACCACCACTAAACCCTAAACCCTAAACCCCTAACCCCCTAAACCCTAAACCCTAAATCCTTAACCCTATATATCCCTATATAACCCAGTAGACCCCCTATATCCCCCTTGAAGGGAAGTTTCTTACCAGCAGCCCAGGCACACGGACAGTTTCTCAAGCCGTGGGTCCCAGTGTAGGACAGTAAGTTTGCAGGACTCCCATTGGGCTTAGGGTTCAGGGTTTAGGGTTTAGGGGCCTCTTATCTGAAACTTTACAAGGTTTAAGGGTTTAGGGTTCTGAAGCTTCAGAAAGTTGAGGCCCTAAACCCTAAATCCTAAACCCTAAACCCTAAACCCTAAACCCTAAACCCTAAACCCTAAATCCTAAACCCTAAACCCTAAGCCCAAAACCCTAAACCCTAAACTTGAGAAACTTCTAGGATGCTTGCGTGTACCCAGTCGGATTTGCCGCCTTAGACTCAAGGGTTCCGTGGGGCCTTGCTGGACAAAACTTGCAGGCGTTACTGGGTTGCTGTTAAGGTCTAGGGTTTAGGGT